AAGTACTGATTTTTGGCTTGCCTGTTTTAGTAGACGCAAGACGCACTGTAAAAGAGTGCATGAGACTTCCAGTGCTGCTAAGATTGCAGTCGTAAGTAACTTATCCGACAGTTCTGCTATGAATTTTTCCGTAAATTTTCTCCGAGTTTTTCCTCACTATTGTAAGAAAGTAAGTCGACTGTGAATCAATTTCATCTACTGCAAACGCCATAAAAATTACACTATATTAGCATTATTGCAAGCCTCGTATGCCCTTTTACCGAAAAAGTCCTCCAATACACTACCGTGCCAAGTAAAAACGCCGTAAATCCATCAAGATTTTCTCTCGTTTTTTGGAACTTAACCCGTTATAAAATCAAAACTTTCTTACCAATGCACCTAAAATTGTCAGAATAAGTTCTTGATAGTATTTGCGAAAGAATCCTGTAAAAATCATTGTCCCAAAGTACACAAGTTTTTCTGCTATGATACACATTGTTTCCGAGAAATGTAAAATGGCGTTTACGGCGTTTTTGCGTTGCGAGTCAGCACAGGAGGCAGGGAGGCTGTCAGTGCGAGGACTGCGAAGTCTTTAAATTAACTTTGTATGCGTAGAGGTTCAAAATTCCGAGCCGAAATCCTGCGTAGCGTGGCGCACCAAGCCTCTGGTGGTGGTGGTGGTGGTGGGGGGGGGTCGTGGGCTGAAGGGGTCATCCTCCGCAGTCTCGCGTTCACCCGCGAAAAATATTTCGCGGGCTCCTCCTGGCGGCCTTGACGGCTCGGTCATGGCACTTTGCGGGCGGTGGCCTGCCTCCATTGCCGCGTCTTGCGCAAAACTATTACTAGAGCACCTATATATGTATAGGGCAAGCACGGACACGTCGGTAATTTTGAGGTTAGGTCTTGAAGTCTCTAGGGCCCAAAAGGTCAGCCAACCTATGAATTCAAATCATCCACAGTGATTTATTATCATACGGTTTTTACGACTCGTCGTTTGTCAGGGTGTCCCTAAGTCCGGAATTTCCGGAAATAATACTGATTTTTTAAGGGCGGTCCGGAAGTACTGAAAAAGTGCGGAAATTCCGAAAAGGTCCGGAATTTTTTTTGTAATTTTTGTCCCAATATGAAATTTTTGAAATTTTTCCAATTTCGTCAAATGGAGGTACTGAAAAAGTTCGGAATTTCACTGTTGGAGGAGGTACTGAATTTCTTGAGAATGTACTGGAAAAGTACCGTGAAAGTACTTAGTTTTGACCAGTCTGTTTTAGTAGACACCCTGTTTGTAAAGCAAGTATTTAAATTAGTTTTTTTCATTAATTTACTCGTTTTTGCGGAAGAACGCTCGTTAATGAACATTCTTGTTGGTCATCTTGGTTTAATATTGGAATCTGAGGATCGACGGCTACATTTTTTGTGCTAGAAGGTTGGCTGCCCCTTTGGGCCCTATGAGTTCCATATTTTAACCCATGGTCCGTACTTTTTCTATGTAGGTACTCTAACTGAAACCAATTGCTTTAAATTTTAAAACGGTTTCGAGAATGGCCGTAACGCTGACAGAATTTGTTTTCGATCGTGATCTCCAAGTTTTTAAAAACAACAGTTCAGTTAGCGTGAATTAGTTTACCGTGCAAAAATAAGCCATAATATGGCTTGGCGAATATGCTGAATTGCTGACGTCTTGCGTTGGTCAGTGATTTTCACGCGCTGTTTTTTTTTGCTTTCCTTTTGTTCTTATTTCTCTTTTTACTCCGTCCTATCACGCAAGACGCAATCAGTTTTTACTCGTAATTTTCATGCAGACATGGATAATTGGAGAATACTAAAAAATCTCATTGTAAATTTCAATAAAACGTCTATGCATTATTTTTATGGGTCCATATTACTGTACTTCGGTTCATGCAACCGAATTTTCAAACCAAAACTTTAAAAATAGCTCGGTAGCATTGAACCGAATTGAAGGAAGAGCTGTTTTGCAAAGTACGGATGCGATTACAACACCCGGAAGTATACGGTTACATGAGCCGAACAGTGCGGCCGAAATACTGCGGCGCCAAGGAAAAACGTCGCATGGGCATTCGAAAGTCGCTAAATTTCGTCCAAGAAAAGATTTTTTTTTCAAGAAGTTTATTAGTACTTCCTTGAAATTTTTAGTTTGTCTTTTCTCAGGGAACAAAATTCCCTGAAAAATCGGAAAAGTACCTTATTTATTTACGAATTTTGAGTGATCTGAATGCGAAGTGAAATCAGCAACAAAACCGCATGACACCGCAAAACGAGTAGATTCTGCTCCGTAATTATAGTAAAGCGTGAGTCATACCGTCAGTGGCGTTTCTTATGGCGTGACTTACACTATTATTGAGCGGTGTCTACTCTTTTTATACACCTCGCAAAACGAGTAGATTCTGCTTTGCAATAGTGAAGCGTGAGTCACACCGTAAGTGGCGCTCCTCACGGAGTGACTTACACTATTATGGAGCGGAATCTACTCTCTTAGCGGAGTGTCATACGGTTTCGGTGCTAATTTCACTTCGCATTCATATCACTCGGGGTTTTCGGGCACTATATGGACTCCGGCGCCGAATTTCACTTCCCGATTTGTAACAATGCTGTATAGAAAGGTTTCCATAACCGGAATTTTTCCTGCGGGCTGATTGTTGAAATTGGTAGACAAAGCTATAGACAAAGAAGACAATATGGACTATGGAGGGATCCTATTAGTGGTGGCGGGTGGTTGCAATGGACAGAGGAGGTAGGTAATAGACTAACTAACGGCAACCCACAAGTGACCCTATAGTGTTAGTCCATCACTTTCTCGCTTATTCTCCGAGAATCATCCATTTCAGCCAAAAGGATAGGTTCATACTGCTTACCTGCCGTGCTGAGGAAGAACGCCGTATGAACCTTCAGGTGTTGTCAAATTTCATTTGATAAAACATGAATTTCCTAGCAAACTTATGAATATTTTTCTTCTAATTTTTCGGATAATTTCTTTCGCAATTTCACCTAAAGGTCCTGAAAAACTCAAGGAAAAATATTCACTACTTTCCTTTAAAATGAACGTTTTATCGAGGGAAATTCGGCAACTCTCGAATGTTCATACGGCGTTCTTCCTTAGCACGGCAATTATGTCCTCTTTGTCTATAGCTTTGTCTATCAATTGTAACAATCGGGCTGCTGAGTGTCCGAAAAAATCGAGCTTTTTCCAAAGCACCCGACAACGGGGCCCGCAAATGGGAATCGGAACGAGTCCCTCACGAAAGGGGCCGCGCTCCGGCGAGAACAATGCGGAGCCATTTGCGCAACGAGCTACGACACCCGAAGTCGGCGGTTTCAAGAGCGGCCGAATTACAAGTGTCCGCGCGGCTCCCGCCGCTAATTGTGCGGGCACTCAGGTCCAGGTCCACCCCGGATCCCTGTCGGCGAACCCGCGATCCCGCCCTTTGTCCCGTCGGCGCGACCCTGCGGGATCGCGACCGGGAACTCCGAGTTGCGTCCCTCCACCTCGCGCGGCGACGCACAGTGGATCGAGTCGATGAGAGAGGTCGGACATGATTTAAAAACTTTAAAAGCGGATATCTTCATTAATGTGAAATGTTGATGTTTTGGAAGTAGTTTCATCGGTTTTCTCGTAAAATTTTCGATCCGAAGTACCCCTTAAAATTGAAATTGTGACGAGATTAATGTAAAGTTTCACGATTTTTGTGAAAAATTTCATGTCCGACCTCTTCTGAAGATTTGTTCCACTGTGCGACGTCAGCTCCCGGGAACGGGATTAGTTGGCCGTATTTCTGCCGAGCAGAACTATGTGCATTAAGACATGAGCCCTGGGGCCCGTAAGAATATGTGCGTAACAGGGCTCACGTCATAATGCACATAGTTCCTTTCGGCAGAAGTACGTCCGGTTATTGAAATTCATGGGCGGAACTTGCGGGTAAGCGAAAGTTTGTATCTCTCCAGGAACATACCTCTCTTGTCGGCTTCGCCGAATAATGAAGAGTTATTAACGGATACGGAGTTCACGCGTGCAGCGGGATTCTCGATTTAATCATCCGTGCCTGCGTAAAACTAGTTTTATTTACTATCACTGGCGGATCCGAGGGGGAGGGAGGAACGGAAGGAAAGGAGGAAAGGGGGAAAAGATGTAGGGGGAAAAAGTGCTTCTAAAAATTTACTGGAATGGTGTGAAGACAGAACTTCAGAACTATTTAACCAAGTTTACTAAACCAAAGGTTACTCAATACCGCAGAAGTAGATAGACCATATACCCGAAAAAAATATCTCTAAAAGAGTCCCCTCAACTAAGGGTCTAAGAGATTCCTCAACTTTCAACTTTCTAATAATGCACAAATTTTATGCTAAAAATGCTTCAAATTCAATTTGGGAGGGGCTAATTTTTTTTTTTTAAATTTTCCGGGGGGACCTCCCAAACCCGCCCTGTTCTCCCTACATGGAGAAAAAAACCTCATGCGTGGGACCCGAAGTTTAGGTCATATGGACCTCTGAAGTTTTCGGATTGAGCATCTGAACACTTAAGGTCCAGCTGCTGAGGTTTGGATTACACATCTGGAACTTCAGTTCTTACATCTGAAGTACTTCGATTTTCACATCCGAAAAACTTCGGTTCTCACATCCGTAGTGCTTCGGTTCTCACATCTGAAGTACTTCAGATGTAAGAACTGAAGTTTCAGATGTGTGATCCGAACCTCGACAGCTAGACCTAAAGTGTTTAGTGTTCAATCTGAAAACTTCAGAGATCCATATGACCTAAACTTCGGGTCCCACGCAGGAGGTTTTTTTCTCTCCGTGTCCTTCTTCGTCCTTTACGCATTGCATGACGTCGTTGCAACCACCCGCTTCCACTAGTAGATTAGGATGTCTCCATATCTCTCATGTCTTCTTTGTCTATAGTTTTGTCTATCAATTTCAATAATCAGCCCGCAGCTCATTCTAAAATGCCACTGACCACGCAACATGGTCGGCATTTTCGTCTCAAGTTTCTAATGACTCTTTTGGTGTTCCAGATGAAGAAGACACCCTGGTGCACGGGATCATCACGGACGAGGGGCTCTTCGACGGGACGATCCTGACGCCCTCGGAGGAGTACTACATCGAGCCGCTGAGCCGGTACTTGAGCGGGGGCGACCAGTCCCCGCCCCCGGCCGGCGACCCGGACAGTTACCACACGATCGTCTACCGCAGCTCGGACGTGGAGAAGCCCGGCACCCCGTTCTGCGCCTCCGAGATGCTCAACAAGCGGAAGAAGTCCCGCAAGTCCTCCAACAACCACCACAACCGGAACCCGGCCCGGCACGACGGAGCTCCCCGCGACCCCGCATCTGTAAATTCAAATAAGTTTAGTGATAATAGGTTAAGCTCCCTGAACTTCAGCCACCAGCTGAACGAAGAGCGGCCCAGGGCGCGGACCGCACCCGAGGAACCCAAGACTGAGAGTAGTATCTTGTCCGGCCCGAGGGACCGTGAAAGCTCATCCGGCCCGAGGGACCATGAAAGTTCATCCAGCCCGAGGGACCGTGAAAGCTCATCCGGCCCGAAGGACCGAAACCAGGCGGATTTTTTAGACCGAACCGGAAACTCCATCCTGGCCGACCTGTTCCTCGGCCACAAGCATGAAGTTCTCTCACGGCCTAAGAGGTAATAGTGATGACTTTTTTTTACATTTTTTGTGTATGTTGTCTCATGCTTTATATCCGGGGGATATTGCGGCCTTGGAAGGGATCTGAAAATTGGATTGCATTTTGCAAAAAGGAACCACTAGCATTGCAATGATGCTAAGATTGTGCAACTTCATCTTCTGCAATAAAATTGCGGAAATCGTGAAAAACTATGAAATTTAGAGGGTAATTTTTGTCTTTTTACAGTTTTTAGCGAGTAAAATAGAAACTATTAATGGATAATCGGATTTTTCCTCCAAGACAAAAGAAGTTGCACAATCTTAGCAACATTGCAATGCTATAGTGGTTCCTCTTTGCAAAATGCAATCCAATGAAAGTAATTTTGTTTTTAGTTATAGCTGGGGTGATAGGGTAGAGGTATCATTATAGGTCTAGGGGTTTACGTTAGTATTCTGTAAGAGATAAAGGGTGTATAGTAATGAAACACAATCACCAAAAAACTTGACGACAACGTTTTGACGAGATGAAAAGTCAGCAACTCTGAAAAAAAAGCAGCAGCAGACTTTTTTTTGCCAGTGAGAAAGTAATTTTTCAAGTGAAACTACCGTGACGAAAGGGCCCTTTACACCCTGGATTATATGCTTTTCCAGTTTATGACGAGACTCTCTTGATCTTCATTCGCCAAACAGTTTTTGCAATGTGGGAACTTTATGTCAACCGAACCCTACCATTCACCGCTCTATTCCTATTTATTTTATCCTGCTTTCCGGACATTGGTACCAACATGAGAAAAATGTGAGCAGCGTTGCCATTTACACCTTTTTCTTAAGAATTAAATGGACGTGATCTGGGACGCAGTTCGGAGAGTCCCGCCGGACGCAATGGAGATGTTGCATGTGTGAGGGATTTGCGATTTGACTGTTGATTCTTTTGTAAAAGTTCGCGAGAAACACGATGGTGCCACCGGTTTTCTCTGAAATCATCTCCCAAGCTCAAAAAAAGCTCTCTAAGTGAGGCCAAAATGGAGGGGATATCCCACCCTACCCTGAGAGTCCACGTTTACATCAAGACAAACTCTCCATGCAAAGATAGGGAGCGAATACATTGACAGGGCTGCCACTTTATTTGGGGTTTCCAAATCTGAAAACACGGCAACCCTGCTAATGTATTTGCCCCCTATCTTTGCATGAAGAGTTTGTCTTGATGTAGACGTGGACTCTCAGGGTAGGGTGGGATATTCCCTCCATTTTGGCCTCACTTTGAGAGCTTTTTTCGAGCTTGGGAGATGATTTCAGAGGAAACCAGTGGCACTATCGTGTTTCTCGCGAACTTTTACATTAGAATCAATGGTCAAATCGCAAATCCCTCACACATGCAACATCTCCATTCGGAGTCTTCGGGACGGAATCCGGATCCGGACTTACCCCTCCCGTATCTCTAGTTATTGGGGGGAGGCACTATGAGTAATACATTATTTTTAGAAATACCTCCAGAAGATTAATTCTGTTTTAATGTTCGTCCAGGTGGTTCGTCGTCATGAACGAGACGTCACACCCGAACGCGAGCTCCACGAGGGGTCAGCCCACCTCGACGACGACGCCGAGACCCCGCAACATCATCTCCAACATCTACAACAGCGACATCTACTCGGTGCGCAACAACATCATCCGGCTGAAAGCGCCGCCGACGATGGCCAACATCACGAGACCCCGCCACGTCCTCCTGAACGAGTTCCACACGGAGCGGGACGGTCTCCTGGTGGGTGCGGGGAGCGCGGGTCCCGGGTTCGAGTCCAACTCGCTCGACGACGACGATCTCCGGGCCCACGTCCGGAAGAGGGCCACCATCGACCCCCGCAAAACCACCTGCATGCTCTACCTCCAGGCGGACCACCTCTTCTTCGAGAAGTACGGCACCGAGGAGGCCTGCATCGAGGTCATGACCCGCCATGTCCAGAGGGTCAACTCCATCTACAAGCACACAGGTTGGTACTTTAACCTATGGTGTCTACCTAGAGCAGAGACGAGAGACCCGCCACTAGTATCTTGGCCATTGTGGGAGCTTTTACTTTAGGGACTTCAGCATTCTACTGTTGACTTACCTACATGTTTGATGTTCAACAACGTGTTGGCAGTTTCGTTTTGGAAACAAGCCGAAAATGGCCGACGTTTGGGAAACTTGTTTGTCTCATGACGTCATCCGAAGCTCATCATCGACCATGTAGGTAGGTCAACAGCCGAAACTAGGGTGATGACTGTTGCTCCCTAATAATTGTCCATAAGGAATTGTTGAAACTCCGTAAGTAAAAGCTTCCACCTGTCGCTAGGAGGCCAGTGGAGGGTCTCTTGTCTCTGACCTAGAGTCATAATGTAAGTGAAAGAGCTGGCGCTATGTTCTGGTCGACGATTTCCGAGCTCAGTGTGCGCCGAGCTTCGGTCACTTTTTCGTTCCATTTTCGATGGCCAGGCCCGTGTGTTTCGAAAACAATCGATTATGTATCGAAAAAGTGACCTGGCGTGACACAGGAGTCTCGGAATTCGGGGCATGGAAAATGCTTGAAAGTGGCGCCAGCTCTCCCCAGTGGCGTGCGGTCCGGATAAGCAAGGCAAGCACTGCTTGCCCAAAGATTTCAAACGAAAGAAGAAAATTACACCTATTTCATGTTGAACATTTTAGCAAATATAATTTATAACAAGTTGGTTTTTGCAATCGCTAGCGATAGCAATATTCGTCATGGGAACTTTTGCTTCTGGGATATGAAAATGTTAAGGAACAGTTCGTTTGTAGTATCTTCAGAATTGAAGGGGCTATGTAATTTTGTGTCGACATCTCTTTTTTAACATTTTTAATTTTTTTTCTTTGCATACAAGAAAGCTGTTATTTACCAATTATTTATTTTCGTTGGATTATGTATGGTTTTCGGAAGTTAACGCATTTAACTTTCAGTTTCGTTTTTTCGGCGTAAAGTATGATATTTTTACTCTACGCATATGCCCGAATACGCATCATAAGTGACCTATGTGCTTCCTAAGTTGCCATTTTTTTCATTCAAATAGATGTAACTGAAATGTTAGATGTGTACTACCTATACTACTTTCATGTCATTGCTTTATTTATTTATTTACTTTTTGCGTAGGTATAAATTGTTATTTTTTGCTGAATTTTGGAGAAAATATTGCTTTAAGAACGTGGAATGTAAATTAATTTTATTGAAAAAAGAAAATACCATCATTAATTTGGGCGAACAGAGAAAATATACATCAATATTTGGGTCAATATCTCCCTGATTTTATAAAGGATGAATATATTAGTATTTCTGTATCAAAAAACTTAGCTTTTGTCTTCAGAGATACAATGATTCTAGTCCCAGTCAATTTGTTTTATTTAAAAAACAAAAAAAACAAAAAATAAATAAAAAAAAACAACTGAAATGTTAGACATACTATTTTCATGTCTTTCTATTTGTATCAATAGGTACTTTTCGCTTAACTTACGAACGTTGAATGCAAATTAACTTTATTGAAAAAAGAAAATAACGTCATTAATTTGGGTGAACATGTGGCTGATTATATGAAGGAGGTATATTCCAGTATTTTTGTTTAGCATATTAACTCACGAGAAAATGTTCGTACATTTATCATCTAGTATTAATTATTTTTTGATGATTGGTCTAAAACATTCAATACAACCATTAAAAATTAACTCCCATCGCCGGGTATCGAACTCCCGATCACCTATTGCCCGCACCTTATCAAAAAAATGGGGCGCCTCAGTCAACTAGGCTATCACGAATCCGCGGCACTTCGAGAAAAAATAGCATTTAAAAGACTCGGACGATGGGCGGGACTTATCACAAGAGTTGTCCTTGAGCGATTCGCGTCTTCGTAGCCTCTGAGATATGAAAGAAATGAGCTAAGCGCCTTTCTCTGTGAGACATTGTTTGCCTATGCTATCATGTGTCTCAAGGTTCATCTCTGCATGCTTTTGCTATCGCGGCAGTAAGCTGAGGCAATATTTCTGTATTCATGGAATAAATCAATCAATCGAGTTCCAATTTTGGCTCATATATCCGTAACGGGTCCTCCAGAGCAGTTTTCCACCTTGCGCAATAGTTATAATTTCTTTATTTCTATTTGTAAAATTTGAGGTGGGATAATGGCGGCTTCTCAAGAGCAACGAGGTAGGCGATCTTTTGCACCAACGAACAGAAAACTGATGGCGAAAAATAACCAATCAGAACCTCCCAAAAAAAAGAATTTGCCTAAAAACGGAACTTCGTGGTTCTGCGCAGATTTACCAGTCAGACACGACATCTCAAAGTGGGAAAAAACTCGCTGAAAGCGAATTTTAGCAATCAACACAACTTGACGTAGAGACATGATTGGCTAAAAAATACAACGGTTTTTGATACATCGGAAAATCAACCAAAAATCGGAGACTGGGCGAAACGCTCAAGGTCGCAGAGGTATAGGGAATCCCATAGCGAAAGCAACGGAACGATTCTAATATCATGGGGAACTCCGTTCCCATGACAAAAGGTGTTCAGTAAGTAAATTGCATGAAAAACAGAAAAAGAGAGAGACAGAAATACGTGTAGAGCCCCAGCAGTGGGAAAGCGGCAGGGCGGATGGAGGTGGCGCAGCGCGCTGCGCGGCCCGAACACGGGCCAACCCATGCGCTGGAGAATCGCTTGCGATCAGCTGAGCGGAGAGCCACTGCTCGGCGGCGGAATCAAGGCGGGCGGGTAGAGCGGTACGTTCCGAGTCCGAGCCCTTCGCTGCGCGATCGCAGCTCGCTTCTCTTGGCCATCTCATGGCCCGTCACCGCAGCGCGCTGCTTCTGCCTCCGATGCGCTATCTTGTTCCATCTTTCCGTCGCGGTTGTAACTGCTCCTCCGGAGCAAATGCCCTTAAATTCTATAAAATTTCGCTCACTTTGATGTAATATTGATGAATTAGACAATTCTGAATCATGTTTTAAATGCAGAAAGCTAATTTTTGGGGAAATTTAAGTAACTCAAAAAATTCTTAAAGCAAAATTAGGAGTTAAGAGCATGGGGCCGTCCTCCAATGATCAATAACATTCGAAACAAGTTGAGTAAACGAAATCATAAGCAAGAGAGAAAGAAATAAAGCCACAGTTTTTCAAGACGTTCCATCAGATTTCATCCGGAAAACAGAGCATATAGAGTAAAATTTTAAGAATTTTCTAGGGAGGCTAGGGGGAGGACGAAGGGAAAGAAACTACGTTAACCCCCCCCCCCCCCCCGGATGGCGAACGCTACAGCTTGCCCTGTCACTGAACCCACCGCACGCCACTGGCTCTCCCATTTACATTAATACTCTATGTACTGTATGGGTGTCTACGACTGCGAATAACCGGGATTCATCAGGCAGAGTATCCCATCTGCTGTGCTGAGGAAAAACAAAGTATGAGCATTCGAATGTTGCCAAATTTCCTCTCATACAATACTTTTTTTTTAAAGAAACTTTTGTATATTTTCCCTTAAAATTTTCAGTCGCCTTAGATTGAACGACAAGCCAAATTTCCTGAAAATTTGGAGAAAAAATACTGGTGGATCTAGCAGGTTGACAACGCTGTCTTTCCTTCCCTTAATCCTGTGTTGAATTATCGATTTTTGTCCCTCCATTTGGTCCCTCTGAGAATCCATTCGCTTAAAATGGTTCAAAATGGTTTAAAATGGTTTAAATGGTTTATGTCCCTCTTCTCTCAAAATTGGATTTATTTTGCACAGTATTCATCAATTAAAAAGGGGATATAAAAAACCTTTCTGAAGTATCATCAGTATTGTATAAAATTATCACAATGCCTGATTATTTTTTTGGTAATTTTATGAGTAATTTTAAATTTTCTAAAATGACAATTTAATGTTTATTTCCAGACTTCAATCAAGATGGACAGTCAGACAATATAAGTTTCATGATCAAAAGGATAAAAGTACATTCTGGAGACGCCATGAATGACCCCGCTTACAGATTTCCAGGGAATTATGGAGTGGAGAAATTTTTAGAAATTTTTTCTGGTAAGTGAAGGAATCCTCATATCAAACTTATATTCTCATAAATGCAATCTAGTCGAACTTGTTTATCATTTATTTGATTTCAATTAAAAGTAACGATTAATTAAAATTTAAAGTTTAAAACAAATTATAATGACCTATTTGCTCTAATAATAATTTCTTTGTTAAATTTGATGTTTTTAAAAAAAAATTCACAGGATCCTCTTAAGAGTAATAAAAAAGAAAAAAAACAACGAAAAATTGTGATTGTAAAATACTCTGTGAAAATGAAAATATTGTGATGCTGGTTTCGGAAAGCTCTTTTATTTTTTTTTGAATAGTTGATATTTGAAAGCATGCTAATCATTTATTGCTCCTGTTTTTTCAGAGGAAGATTATGATGCGTTTTGCTTGGCTTACATGTTCACTTATCGTGATTTTGAAATGGGGACATTAGGATTAGCATGGACTGGCGATCTTAAGAATGCTGGTGGAGTTTGTGAAAAGAATGGAGTAAGTGTATTATTCGATCATTACGTATGTTACTTTTTGAATTATTATCGTTTTAGCTTCTTGCTCATAGATTGTAAGTACAAATTACCAATAATTTATCAGCTCTTACATCAGTTAAAATGAAATGTTAACAATTTTTGTTTGTTTTTTAAGCGAAAATCATATGGTAAACTTTTTTATGATTGAGCTGTATGTAACTTTTTTTTCTTTTTCTCCTAAGTCTTGTGAATTTTATTTTAAGGTTTGTCAATATATTTTGCTAGTGCCATTGAGGAAAAAAAATAGTTCTGTGCTAGACCTTTGTAAAAATGGTATCAGTCGAGTCTTCTACTGACATCAATGAAGACTAGTAGAAAATTTAACTACCTATTTAATTGACATTTTAATACTGTTTGAATGGTTAATTTTTTTGATAAATTACCTGTGAAACAATAGAGTATTCATCAATTTGAAAAAAAAAAAATTTAAACTATTTTAATTCATGTGTTTAACCCAACAAGCTTCACACCTCCTAATTTTTTCAATTATTTCTTTCATATTTTGCAGCACTACCGCGGCAGTATGAAGAGCTTAAATACTGGTATTGTAACACTATTGAACTATGGTAAACATGTTCCTCCAGCTGTTTCTCATGTGACCCTGGCTCATGAAATTGGACATAACTTTGGCTCACCGGTAAGTTATGAACTCAAGTTTTATTTTATTTTAGTATAATACGTCTCGAAAAAAAAAAAAAAAAAAAAAAAAAAGTAAAAATGTAATGACAAACGATGCAAATTGCAGAGTAACACAATCATCATAAAATTATTGATGTAATTATTCTTTTCTTTTTGTCCAGAAATTTTTGAAAACTTGTATGCAGAGTCAAGTTTCTTTTCTCAGCATGTCCTTAATAATGGCATCTTGGCTGAGAACAATAACCACTATCATCAAAGAGTGAATCTAATCTGAATAAGACAAATTCATTCTCTAAAAGTGCAAAAACTTGGCATTTGACCAATGAATCTCAAGTACAGTTTTACTGAAGTTAGCACAGGAAAAAAGTAAATTTTTTGTTTTCATCTGAAAGATAACATGTGGAATAAGAAGACAACTATTATAAGCTGAAGAGATAACTTTTCATCACTCAAAAGCCTCTCCACTTTCCTGCAAAAATATCTCATTTCTGCAGGCGGACTGGGAATACCTATTAAATTCTTTTTTTTTTCATTGAAGATGATATTGAATGTTTTCTTGAAAATTAATAGAGTGGCTTTCTATTTCAGCATGATCCTGAAATCTGCACTCCTGGTGGAGATGACGGTAATTTCATCATGTTTGCTCGCGCAACGTCTGGTGACAAGAGGAATAACAATCGGTTCTCTCCATGCAGTCTCAACAGTATCAATCCAGTTCTTAATACGAAAGCTCGGTCTTCCAAGGGATGTTTCACAGGTAATTTTGGAATTTATATTCCTGAAAATATTTTCGTAATCGATCATCATACCCAGGAAAACTCTTTGAACACTCACATGATACCCTTTGCATCAAAATGAAGTGACCTGCTTGTAACCTTTATCAATGGTGAAACTACCAAACAATGTATCTCTTTTTCGGTGTCTAAAAATCACTGCTTGTATTTATTTTTCTGCAAGGAGAACAAATCAACATCATTCCTCAAAATTTCCACAGAATGTTCTTTGCGCAGAGAAGAAAAGTCATTGGAAATATTAAAAGTTGATATTGATTAGTTTTCTATTGAAAAATACAGCATGACAAGAAGTTTGCAACAAAGCAAACCGAGGTACGTCATTTGAGAGTTTGACCATCAATATGTTTGTTTTTTTAAAGAGCATTTTCCATAGAAAATTCACTCTTATTAAAAGAAATGTGCCTTTGTCCAACTATATAAATCCTTTCTTCCATGAATAGTCTCATTCTCTTGTACTTCTTAATCCTAGCAGATGAAGTCATAAATTTTGCAGGGTTCAAAATATTGCATCATTAAGTATAAATGAACATAATCGAAACCAGTCAAAGATAACTTTAACCGTTCATCTTTCAGATTACAGCTTGATTTGCAGGAACAGTGATCCTTCACCACAATTCATCTCCTTTTGATAGTTCTTTGAGTGTTTTTTTTAGAAATTCTAAAGCATTATTCATCATCGTGTTTCAGAACCTCAAGCCTCAATTTGCGGCAACGGTGTTGTTGAAGGAGATGAGGAGTGTGATTGCGGTTGGGAAGAAGACTGTTCCGATAAATGCTGCTATCCTCAACGGCGTTATCCGCCAATCGATGAGCCACCATGCCATTTAACTCCGCGCAGCCAGTGTAGTCCCAGTCAAGTAAGTAATTCTGTTACCTTCCTATTGATTTTTTATTTCAATGTATTTAAATTTAAAGTTTCAAAGTCCTAAGAATACAGAAAAAATCTTGGAAAAAGTTTAGAAAATAACTCGAACGAGTTTGCTGGGAATTTATAGAGCAATTGTATAACACTGTGGAAATGTAACCAGTGAATTAAACAAGCCTTCTCTAGTCCTTTTCAGTGGTTTATTGTTTGTAGAAAATTATTGCTATTTCAGTTAAAACCCCATTTTGAAATGCATTTCCAGCCATAAGTGAAATATCTGAATTCAGTCAAACAGAAAACTTGTACCCTTGTTTGATCTTCATGACTAGAGTTTTTACTGAAATGGTAATTGACGCAAATGAAGGAGGGAAAAGAAGAAAGACCAAAATGATTTCAGGAAAAATAATCTCTCAATACCCAAAATTTTTGGTATTCACTCAATTTAGTGCTGATTTGAATTCCATAGATAGAAATTCAAAATTCAGTTCAATTTAACATTAATATGATTCAATTTTTTGTAACAATTTTTAAATTTTTTACTGTGAAAATTGACGGGTTTTGCATTTCCTCCATTTGAGCACAATTTATTTCGATCTCTCTGACCAGACCATTAATGACTTCTAAAATATTTGGATGCTGTGCAAAGAAGTTCAATTCATTTAAACATGCTTAGTCGAGGTTTGTTTTTTGTTTCATTTCAACAAAGTTCATTTTTCTTTAATGCAGTTAAGGAAATCGAACCCTGAAATGTCAAATTTCATAATCGCTGAACCAACCTCTGATTTTTCTTTCAGGGTCCATGTTGTACAACCGACTGTGCTTTGAAGTTTGGTGACAAATGTCGAGATGATAATGGTTGCCGAGACTCTAGCTTCTGTGATGGGAAAGGCCCCTCTTGCCCGCCGTCCATTAACAAGCCAAATAAAACTATATGCAATGAAGAATATGTCTGTTTTATGGGGGTAAGTTTTTGTTAGCTTTAACTTTTCGAATTATCTGTGTTAGAAAATACTTTTGAACAACAGCAGCATTAACAGGTGGTAAAGTTTATGACAAGTTGTGAAGAAAAGTGAAAAGATTTGTGTTAAAGTCAGAGACCATATGTACCTATTCATTAGTTATTAGGACAGTTTAATTGCCATGATATTTCTTTATTGCTTATATTAAGATGTATAATTGAATCAAATGATAATTATAGATTGGTAAAAATTGCTGAAAATACTTACATTGATGGCGCACTATAAATGCATTTTATCCTATCGAACACTGTTCTTCCGGTATCCATCTTAACCGTATCCCATTAAGATTTGCTTGATTTCTGATGTGCAAATAGACCCATATCTATTCAAACTTTTGACATGTCTTCTCTCAAAAACTAAGTTTTTCAGTTGAATACTTGGACCATAATTTCAGAAGATGTATAACGATCAAATAACGCAAGGAACATGCCGCCTTGTGAGGTTTTAAAAAAAAATCGCTGCACACCTTATCTTTTGACCTCAAGTTTTACGTATGTTTTCTTTTATTTTTTACATCATCCAACAAAGAGGGAAAACCCTGAATTGGCCATAGTCATTTTACAATAGGAAAATTTGTTCCACAATATTTTAGATGAGACGGCATGAAAGGTTAGGTGTGCAACTGTTAATAAGTTTTCTTGTCACCTGTAAAATTTTGTCTTGCGAGACCTTTGCATGAAACCCATTTGACAATCTTGTATTTGTAATAATTTTACGTTTTTATTTTTAAGGAATGTACCGGCTCCATTTGTCTGGCTTACGGTCTGGAGTCCTGTCAGTGTATTCCTGGGCCAAATGATCCACCTACTAAAGCTTGTGAACTGTGCTGCAAAGCTCCGGGTGAAAACCAGCCCTGCCTGTAAGTTGTGATAAAATAATTTTACAATTTAATATCCTTCGGGAAGCAAACAAGTTCAAAATCTGAAGGTACGCAAAACCTGTTGTATCTCTTTTAATAAGGAGGGGGAGCATTTTTTTTTATTATCAATCCAGCTGTGATACAATGTCACTGTAGAAAATGTATGTAAAAATGCTACAAACCTCACTTTTCAGCGTTTTTTATTAACCGTTTGAAAGTATATTTTGCTCAGGAGATCATGTCTTTTTGTAATTTTCCAGATTTTTTCTGAATTTAGATATCATTTTTTTCCAGATCATCTTACAAGTGGAACAGTGCTCCATATGATGTTCCCGATATGCTCTCCAAACCAGGCACACCTTGCAATGATTACAATGGCTACTGTGATGTGTTCCAGCGGTGTAGAGAGGTAATCTCTAAAGCTTTCCCTATTCCTGATTTGTTGCGTCAGGCTCCAATTGCTTGGTTGAAGGATGAAGCTAAGTGATTTTTCTTCTCATGGAAGTCTAAAAAAAAAAGGGACATGGAATTAGAAATAATGAAATAGGTATTCTTTTAGAATAATACAAATTTATGGAGGATTCACATCAGATTATGCAATAGTAAGCTATGACACTACCAAGCATACGCTTTGCAAATTGTATAACCTGCGAAAACCAAAGAGTTGGCATCGAATGATATTAACTTCACATCTCTGTATGTTTCAATGTAACAATGACTTTGATTTAAAAATAATACTTGCTAGTTCTCTGAAAGTCCTCATATTGGGGTTGTACTGTGTTTTAATTTTTTGAAAAGCGTCCAGGAAAGATGATTGACTGTCTTGAAATGGGGAAATACTAAGACCAAGAACAATTTGAAATCTGAACATCATAAACCTTTACTTCGGAAAAATTTGCTGCTAAATCTCCAATAAGTTTTGTATCCAAATTTCATTTCAAAATTGTTTGAAATTCAAATTCTTTCTAATGATTGTTCGGTGTCCTCGATCATTCTCTTGTCTTCATGTATCACCAAAAAGAAAAGAAACTGATTTTTCTCTTATTCTCTCAATTTGACCCTCAGGTTGATCCATCCGGGCCTTTAGCCACTTTAAGGAAATTGTTATTGTCGGAGGAGAGCATCGCGTCATTCAAACGATGGACCATTGATCACTGGTATTACTCATCTTTAATAGTTTTCTCATTCGTCCTCATTTTGGTAAGTTCTATGTTCTTTTTTTTTCAATTTATAAGTGTTGAAAGAATGCATTATTATTATATTTTTGACCGCATGAAAGATCATGGTTTCTAATTGCATGCCATTAGCAGCACAACATAATCTTATACATTTTTTATCAGAAAAGGTCTGTGTCTATCTTAGTAAATTTCTGCTAGAGGAAAATTCCCAGATTCATCGGTTGTTGAACCATCTGACACTCATAATTAATTTCGAGAATTTTCTTTCCTCAACCTGTTTCTTTTAAGTTTTGCTGGAGGAAATAATTGCTTGTGCTTACTGTTCCCGCCATGAAAACAGCTTTCATTTTCGAATAGCATGAGACCAAAAATCTGCCAATTTTGTTTTCACAATAAAGCAAGTTTAAGAATTCAAGTGACCAATTTTCTGTCTCACCGCATAAGTTAAAAAACTATCACCTGTACTCCAAGTGTAGAGGTAGCCTCTTAATGCAAAAGTAGAAGATTCTGTATAAAAACACTAAATTAAATGGTCCTCTGAGAGTTAAAGCCAAGATATTTTTTCAATAGTCAAGTTTTTTTGTCAAGTTTCTATTGAGTTTTCATTTTTGCAATTTGAACTTATTGTTGTTTTTTAGTAACTTCATCTTTATGTCTTCCTCGTTCTTAGTTTTTATGCATGTGTGTTTGTTTTTATACTTAATGCATGCTAATATCGTAAGGACTCATTTTTCTGTAAGTTTCTCATGATTTTCATCATAGCAGGTTTTAAATTGAGGAGGGTCTAAGAAGAAGGGCCCATAAAATTCAGTGAGTTCATCTCTGCAATCCGCCTCATTTGCGCAAGCAGGTAGCAATGATTACAGCTAAGCTTCTTCTTAGCGTAGTAGCCGCTCGAAAAAACAAGAACTTCTTGACTATTATAAGCCCTCATTCTGGAACTCTCCTCAATTAAAATTTTTGAAAGTATCTTAGATAATTTCTAAAGCATAATTAGGAGCCTTGTTATTAAAAAAAAACCTTTGTTAAAAAAATTGGTCGCGTTTACCTTTGCATTGCAAGTGTGATCGACTGATTTATACATCCACACATGGCAATGTTCTTTATCCATGCCAAACTTGCCAGTTGGACCAAAGCAACGAAGTCATCTCAATCAGAAAAACAATAACCACCCTATTTGATCTGAGTTCCAAAAGATTAGGTTTTTGTAGGTAATAACATACTCGTATGCACTGAGCTACAGTTTTAAGGGTTAAATACACCCAAATAATTTTTTAGGAATGCTGAAGGATGATCAGAGTTTATATAAACATTTTTGTCGTTTTCTTAAAGTGTAAAATTACTTAGCCTCTGTTATTTTCCCAGTGATTAAATCAGGTTGGTCTATCGTCAAATAGATTTCCATCACTGTTATTGGTGAGAAATCCAAAATAGTCTAGTCTCTAAAAATGTTTTCACACTATTCTCTCTCTATCATTAATTGGCAACAGACCAAATGATTTTTCGTCTCAGAAAAATTTTCTTTATAACAAGCTGCTCTCAACAACAATATGGAGGCATATTTTCCTCATAAAGATTCTTTGTCATCGAGAAACTTTCTTCATAGCAGGTGCCATTATAGACTAAAAGTACTGTATTCAGTTTTGGTCGAAAATCAGAATTTTTTTAAGACACTCAATGTATCTATTTATCATCATGAAAAATTAAATCATAATTTTTCTAGTAAACACATGCGATACTAATCAGAGGCTAATTTGGTCTGTTGCCACCCACGTAAGAATAGTCGAGCTAGTATTGCTCGTCAATATCAAATGTTGCAAAGCCCGTGAGTGTTTTTCTAGGACATTCTAACCTCTGTACAGGTTTTTGAAATGACTCTCTTTACTCATACCTTTTTTTGTTCTTTTCAGGTTCTAAGCACAAGACTTTTCGGAAAGCGTCCAGATCTGAAGCTGAAGGCCGTAACAATCATTCATAGCTCAACAACAGAAACAGTGAGGCTTCCTCCGCCAGATGCTAGTGGTCCAGGCGTCACTGTACATCCTGCCATCAAATCAAAACTGCCTCTAAAACGTAAAGTTCGTGGAGACGGAAGGAAAATTGTTGCTAGCAAGGTGAAAAAAGAAAACAGCTCCGGTTCCAACGTCAATAATAACAACAGCCCGATTGGAAAAGGCAAGAAGGCAGAGACTCCTGCAACCAAAGAATCTGAAAATTCAAAACCGATGGATTCAACTCCCGAGAGCTCACCAACAAGGAAAGTTCAAAAGAAAAGCAAAAATATATCGAAAGATAAAAAGAAATATGTTAAAGTTCGGAAGTTGGATGGTGACGGAAAGACAGGTAAAAGTATCTCTTCAAAACCTCCAGAGGATGATCCTTTTGGAAAAGTTCGTAATTGGTTGCTGAATTCTCATATTGACGGCCTCGCTTCCGTTCGTAAATCCAAATCCTCCCCAGCTGGTTTCAGTCCAAATAGTGGTCCTCAAGACTCGGCAAATGCTTCTGCGAATCAATTGAATAGTAAAGTAGTGCAAAAAGTCGAACCAAGAAATGCCTCTTCGACTGAAAACAAAAGCAATGACCAGAAAGTAAAACTGCAGGTTGTATATAAGCCAGCCTTCAAATTTTACGTGAAACTGAAAAAGCCACCGTGCGAGACGCAGACTAAAGTGGTAAAAACTAAGCCAAAACAGCCTGTAAATCCTGCAAAACAAAGGGCGCTTATTCTTCTGAAAGCGGAAAAGAACAGCGAGCAAAAAATACGTCAAGAGAAAAAGAAACAGAAAAAATTGGCCGAACTAGAAAAGAAACTAGTCTCTGAAAAGAAAGAAAACGTTGCTCTTCAGAAGAAGAGTCGCCATAAGGACAGAGACTCGCCGGATGGACCATGTGATGCATCAGCTGGAGATGCTAGTCCACCAGTGTTTAGTAATGATATTGAGAATATACCCATGGGGAAACATTCAGATCAGGTTAAGCTAATTGACAAGAAAGAACCGTTGTACGCTAATACAAGTGCAGCACCAAGTAATCCAGTTTATGAAAATGTCAAGACAAAACCTGTAGATCTGCTACGAATGACATCCACCGAATGTAAAAAGCCGCTGCAGGAGCCAATATTATCTCAGCACCAGTTGACAGGCTCAAGCATGCCAGAACCTGGAGAGTTGAGTCAGCGCAGCTCCTCAAAAAAGTCCCCAGGAAACTCAAATGATCGGAAGCAATCATCTGCCAAAAGTAAAAAGCTTCACCAGATAAGTCAAGATGCTTCTCCAGTCAATTTAATGAGGTTTCCTTCTGTCGAGAATGCTCAAGATATTAAAATTAATCCTAGTGTTAGTGATAAACCAGAGATCAATTCTGATCTCAATGAAACCCTCTTAGATTGCTTGTACTCAAATTGTGATAAATCGCGGAAATCGGACAGACTCTCAGCCAGTTTCTCAACTAAAGCTTCCCAACAAATAAGTGATCCAAACTATTTAGAAAACCGTAAGTCTTTTTACTTAGCTAGACCGCCAGGTGATTCAGATCAAGGATGTCTCAAACGGTCTCCGAGTTATCACATTAATGCGTCAGAAGCTTCGCAGAAGCATCCGCTCAATCAGTTAGCTCGGAATCTTAGTGTTTCCCCGAATAATGCCGATCTTGCGTCGGCAGAGTCTAATCATCGGAAAGATGAATCAAAAAAGAGTTTCAGTAAAAACTGTGATCAAAAAGTAGTGAAATGTAGTCCTCCAAGCACCGTCCATAAAGCACTTCCTTCTAGATCTTCCAGTAGTTCCCAGGTGAAATCAGTTGGGAAAAGCACTGTCAGTCAAAAGTCACGCAGTAATTTAGATTTGTCTCATCCTTCCAATTTATCCAATTCGAGGGACCCAGTTTGTTGATAGTAGCTAATGCTGTAATCGGCTGAATGTATGACTCTTTTTTTAACCTCTCTCTGAGACAGTTGAAAACCTATGCGGCAATATAGGGTGAACTACGTTTTTGCATTCAGCGCATGTACGTCTCACAATGTTTATAATATGAAATTTAAATATCTCAATTTCTAAGCATAACGAGACGTACTTTTTTTGTGATAAGATGGTCTTATTGTATTGACAATCAAGTACTCTAAATGTAATTTGTATCAAAACGTCATTACAATGCTTTAAAAACATGATAAAATAACATCAATGGGAATCAATCGGTAACTCAGTGAGGGGCTTAAGGAGAACGCATCCTTTTTTTTGTAGGTTTAATATTAAAGCTGCAAAAATGTTTGCTTCAAATCCTACATTCTGACGGTTACCATCACTTGTAGATTGTGTATTCTCAGTTTCGACTTTTTCCTCATCAATTTTTCTCCACACAGTTCTCAAATTACAATGATATCATATCACATAGTTTCGAGACTAAAAACTAAAACTGGTACTAATTTTATTCCTATATTTTTATTTTTATGAACGCTGTCATTAACTTTATATTTTCTAACTGACTTCTTTTTCTAAAAGCCTTGACAGAACATATCGTCTTATTTCTCTAGGAAAACTCATTTTGTAAATTTTCCTATCAATCCCTCTTTTTCAACTATTTTACTACCACCGCAGCTTTTAAAGCCTAAACAGGTTTTTTCCTCAATCATATTTTAGTATGCGTAATTTTCCGCTCTCTATTTGGAGGCTTTAAGAAATGTAATAATTTCATTTTTAAGCCATCACTCTGTGATCCAGGCCAGTAAAAAGTATTTCAACGCCACTTTGAGGACACCTGAAAAATAGCACTTTCATTAATGAACCTTTTTGAGACCGCATTTTCTGAGTGTTTTGAAGAATTTGGTGGTTTTACGGCTAATAAGACATGACAGTGAATTTTTCAAACAATAGAGCTCTTGCATGCATCAAGGTTTTGCAATTTAAATAATTTTTTTCTCTAAAATTGTCCTTTTTAAAGCTGTTTTTAAAGCTTGGGAGTTTGTTTCAGAGAAGTCCAGTGGCACCATCTAATGTCTTGGGAAAATTTCAATTAGTACCAGCACTTAAATTGCAAATCCTTGACGCTTGTTCCATTTGAGTTTTGGGATACCTGATGAAACAAACAGATTTTTCACCAGGCTTAATTCTATGAAGTTTTTCAACCATCAATATTACATCTTTATAATTCTTTTGTTGTTTGAAAGTTTACCTTTACTCCTTCATGTGAGTTAAAAATTATGCATATTAGAATGCATCCTCATTGTCTGCGCAATCAAACTGGGCAGAGTAAAAGAAAAGGCCAAAAATCAGATTGCCAAAAGCAGATGTTGCGATGCTCTGAGTACCTCAAAATGCCTTTCTTCTGCTCTGTCTGATCTAATTGCACAAACAATCATTTCCGTAGTATATTGCAACACTTCTTTCCCGTCCAGCTTGCAAGATGTGAATAGTATTATTTTGAGATTTTTTGGTCCCTTCAGACTATACCATATCAATTTCTTTCGTTACCTGAATTATTTTGGAGGGTAGTTCCTTACGTGTTACTTTAATTGAATTGGTTTTTGTTAGACGGGCGTTAGTCCAAAAACTCATGAGCCTCAGTATTCGCATCAACGAAAGCCAGGGCTCATGAGATTTTGGACCTACGCCTGTCTAGTAGGAACTGGTTCAATTATTACACTACTCATTGTTCCCTTTCACAATTCTTTAAAAAACGATTATAAACTTTGGTATTTGTGTGGTTTTTACGATAGAATTTAAAACCGACCATTACTCAAGTGTTCGTAGAAGTCTTTTGCTGAGCAGGAATTTTGCACTCAGAATACATTTTCCATATGAGTCTTCATCGTAATAAAGTCACATGTCTGTCTGAACTTAAAAACGACTTACCTTGATCGTGGTGTTACAAAATTTCTGCTCCCACTTAATCTTTTCAAGAGAATCAAGCCAATTTTGTTGCTTGAAATTTCGTAGGTATATTCTTCTAATAGAGTGGAAGAATAATAATAAAAATGGACAATCTTAGCAGCAATGTGAAGGCAATAAGTCATTATTCAAAAGAACTCCTTCATTACAAAATGTTAGAATTACTAAGGAATTGTTGTCTCTCAGAAGTTCGTTACTGTAGAAATTTTTCAGTGCTGGAGGCATCAAAAAATCTCCAGAGCTACTTACTTTTAAGATATCTGTGCGCCTCTTGTAAACTATTGTACAAAGTATTCCTTAGAATTTGTAATAAAATGTATAAATTGTAGAAAATACTAAATACTAATGTACTAAAAATGATCTCTCGTGACGAGCAAATGGATTTTATATTTAAATGTTCATTTAGTTGATGTGATAAGTAGTTTTTAATTTATTAACTGTCAAATTGCAGCTCGGTGTTGTTCATTTTTCTACAGCATAACTTACTCTTGAGGGAGATGTCTTTAGTCAAGAAGGAGGCCAGCATCAGACTTTTTGTTAAGCTCGTTGTCCTTTGTAGCACAGGATCAGGAGGTTGTTTCTGTTAGACTTCAGAAAGAAAACTTTGCTTTAATGGAGAATTTGCACGCAATTTTTTTATTTCTTCATCTTAAAGTGCCTAATGAGCTGAGTTCGCAACATTTTTCATAATTTTTTTCTGACATGGGAAATTGGAGAAAAATTGATTTAAAAGTGAGAAAATGTGCCGCCTTGTGACGTCATCTGGCAGCATTTCCCATTTAAACACATGTATTTTAGCAGAATCGGTTATTTTGTCATATCTCCTCTAATAATTGCTCAATTTATGAATCAAGGGTATCTTCGTGTTCAGTTCACTCAGAGGATTCCACTTAAACAGGAAATTCATCAAATTTCAGACCCTTGCAAATTCTCCATTGTGATGTGTTCCGGGAAAATGGGCCCTATTTGAGTTGATTTGATTTGCATAGTTGTCATATTGAAGAGTAAATTTTGTAAAGTATACCCCAGAGAATGTACATAATTTTAAAGGAGAAATTGTGTGGAATTTGACAGATTCAATCGAAATGAACCAAATTACTGCCTAGCCTAATTTTCTTGAATGATTTATTTTTTAAAGAAAAAACCAAGCAACATTGAAAACGAAAAGTTAGTGAGTATATTTTTCATAATCTAGTGTAAATTCGTGAAAATTTTAAAGGGGTCAAGTCGTTTATTTCTTTGTTAAAAAAGTAAAATATGAAAGGATATGAGGCAACATAAAATGCAGTTAGGTCGATTCCAGTCATATCTATCTAATTAATGTGCAGTTTGTACATGAAAAATAGCGTTCTGTAGAGGAACAAGATTATTCTCAATCTCTCAATCTTTTTCAGCTATCAAAAAGATCCGTTTTTACACAATTATCAACGAAGTTCTGAAACAATACCCCATGTATTTATTCTTCAATGTACCTAAGGCAGTCTGGTACCAAAATTCACTCATTTTCATTCTCTCATGAAGTTTGCGAGGAAAGTCGATGGAACTTTTTCCAGAACGCATCGATGTAAGCTGAAAAAAGTATGATGGAGGAAGTCTTATTTAATTCTTTGTTTATTTATTTATTTTTGAAAAGAAAAGTGGTATTGAACAACGCATTTTCAAAGAGGCTGGTCTGTCTGCCTTCATGAGGAAAAAGCATGAGGTGGCCTTTCTCAATTTTAATGCTGCCTGAGTTTCGGTGCTCCGTTTGCCAAAATGACGATTCACCGCAGCTTTATCTCTATCTCTTATTCTATCTCTCTCTATTTTTTTTATCTACCTATTAATTTTTCAAGTGAACAGCATAAAAATCAGGAACAGCCACCTCTTATCTGCCCCTCTTTTTACAGACTGTGTCTGTTGTGATGGGATATATTTTTCTTGTCAGTGCATCTAAACCGAAAAGTTTTCATCCAAGCTGAACTTCTTTCAACATTTTTAGTGTCTAACTTAAACGATTCCCCAACTTATCTAGACGCCAAGGCTTTTTAACCATTTGTTGTTATTTTTTGCCTTTTTTTATCATCATTTTAACAATACTCATCATAATATTAATTCCATGTTTTATTTTTGTGTCTATTTTAATAATTTTCAAATTAGTCTGTGAAATTTAGCTCATTTCATCCTTTTGATCATTCAGTATTAAGTGATCTGTCTCATTGACACTGTCTGCCAGTTCCTAGAATGTGAACTGTTTTTACAAGAGTAAGAAGTCATTGGCCAATAATTATTATGCAGAGCAATTTGTTCTTTTGACAACTTTCTTTATCGACCGTATAATTTTTTCAATTTCAGATATTTGCTGTTATGATATGAAGACAGGTCTTATGTTTGTGAGGTATCTCTTTATTAAGTGCAAGAATAAGTTTTAGGTGACTGATATGCATTTAAAAATGTATGGTGATTCAAGATATCCAAGTTCATCTGATTAATAATGTAGGAGATTTATTTTGAATATGAATGCTGAATTTTATCCGTTTCAAACAATTAAACCGTTCCTTAATCCGAAATTTGTATCAAAAAGTGCAATAACTTTGAACAAATAGATATAAATTTGAAGTTAAATATGTTTCATTTTTTGTAACTCTTTGGTTGATTTCACAGGGGAACTTGGAAATGTCTGACATCAGAGATAAGTTGTGTGCCAAAAATAGGTACTTTCCTGTGTCATTGTTAAACATTTTCTGTTGTATGTTTAGAAAACATTCATTTCATCCATAGTAACTCCTTCAAAAGAAAGTCTGTCTCAGATAGGGTGTGTTACAATCTGTTAACGGCAGAGACACTTTTTTAAGTCTGCAGATGGAGGCACTTGAATTCTGTTGTGATAGTTTTTAAGCTCTCTAATTTTTTTAACTCCTCAAGTTTTTTTCATTTAAAACACTCCAATCCTCAACAGATCTAGTTGAGAATTTTTTCTTTTTTGCTGTAACTATGGTTTGGAAATTAGAGAGTTTATGAGTCATTTTATTATTATTTTAAAGGGCTTCTCAGTCCAGATGGCACAGCGCGGCTCATGCTTGTAGCTGTCCCTATAAATGGCTTGTCAACTGGTCCAAGGAACAATTCCATTGTTGTGCTCATATATTTTTAAGTTCTAAATCCATTCCAAGTAAATTGAACTGGCAATGTGTTCAACTATCATCAATTCAATCCCAATATACCTTTAACCTGAAAATTTCCACTCTCCAGTCTTAAGCATACTTACTGTAAACTTAGTTGTTTTTTTTCTCATCAAATCTGGCATTCTATTGATGTACACTTGTTGATGAGAAAATAATCTTTTTCGCTCCAGAATCAATGTAATTTTTTCTCTTTTTCATGGAAAACCAAGTTGATTCCTCATTTCCATTCGTTTTAGGATTAGAGATCAAAATCATTCCTTATTGTATGAAAATGTTCTGCTAATTTTCACCTTCTCTGTGTCATCCTTCATGAGTCATTTACTTTCTGAATATTCACACGTTGTTGTGATTAAATTTTATACATTTTGTATAGTAAGAGGAAAACTCAAATTGATTTGTTTTGTACTTTATTTTGCTCATGAAAAATAAAATTATTTAAATTACTTCTTCATCTTTTCTTTTTCTTGTTAAAAATGTCAGTTTGTATGAAACAAAAATGAATATTGTCCCTTTATCTCTATGGAAAATGAAAAATTTGTCTTTCAGCCCTTGGATGAATCCATCCTCCGATGAAAGTTTCGGTGTCAGTGTAGGCTCAACTATAAGTTCACAAACAGGAACCCAGAAAGGCCTCCAGATGCAAGTAGCAGACGAGAACTGCATTGTTCAAGAATTTTCTGTATGAGGTTCGTACAGCATTTAAAAACAATTAATTTTGGAAGGTGTTGAAAGGTGAGCTGAAAAACTGAAACTGGAGACGTTTTCGACTGGTGACAATAGTTTTTCGTAGCTTACAACAACATCAGACACTCCAACTGCGAAGATCCAGAAATGATTATCATTTTTCTCTATTTCATGAAAATTCTTTGGAAATTCAAGTTTTTCCTGGGGAGCCCTTTTCAAAAGTATACTCGATTTGCCTGAAAATCCTGATAAAATGAAGAAAAATGGTAATCATTTTTAGACTATAAATAAAATCAATTGCAACTTTTAGGCAAACGAACAGTTTATGCCCATAGTTAAGGATTTCAATAATGTAACCAAATACCGAGGACGCAGTCCAGTTGGTCCTTACTAGATTTCAGCCAAAAAATCCGTCCAGTTGTTCAGTGAAACTGAATAACTGATGTCAATAGTCTTCTTTAGTTGGTGATCAAATTGATAATGGTCAAAATTTTCAATGTCGAATACAGAACAAGTTCATTTTTTTAAACAACTTGAAGTATTTACTTTAATTAAATATGCATAAATAAATAAATACATTTTAAAGTAAACTTGCATTTAGATAACATAGCGGTAACAGAAATATACATACATCATATTTCACATAACAAGTACGATATAATTCAAACGAGTATGAAATAAAATGCGCAGACAAGTCACCTTGAATGAGGACAAAAAATGTCATCAAACAAAACAGCTGCGGTGTCAGACGAGGTTGCTGTTAAATAGCTATAAACAGGGCCGGATTTAGGGGGTCGGCAGATTTTGAAATTTTTTTAAATGTAGGTATTAAAAAAAATCGGATTCGGAAAAAAAAAAATCGCAAACGAGAAGAGGCGACAAAATCTCTCATTTCCTGAGAGTATTATGCTATCATGTAACACGTATTAGCGCCTACAAGACTTCATGAATACTTCACGCATTGCGGCAGACATAGTGCGGTCTGCAGCGGTCGGCGTGAAACGCATAGCGCCTACAAGAGTGTAGGGATACTTCACGCATTGCGCCAAATACAGTGCGGTAAGCGCGGCGGCGGAAGTTCAAATGATTAAACCTAGATTAAACCACATTTATGTTTGTTCTTTCATAATTTTTTCGTTCAATACTTATACATGGAAGGCCTTGCCCCAAAGACATTGAATCTTGCCCACACTAAGATAGGTTACGGAACTTAACTTTCGCGCAAAGTTCCGTGAACTTTGGCCAGCAGTGTCGACAAGGCTTTCGCAAAAAATGTGTCCAACACGAGTAAACGCACGTCTCATGCACCCCTCCCCCTCCGGCACGTACACTTGACAAGTTTCAGAACGAATGAGAAGGGGGCGGCAAAATACAGGCAGCCCATGGGCGAATAGTAAGTAAATCCGGCCCTGGCTATAAATTGAGCTTCAACAATTATCACAGGAACTTATGTTCCTTTGAAACCTTGCACACAAAAAATACGGCACCAGTATTGCTATTATGAGCAAGTGCCCATCGCACTTTGCGCGTGCACGCGACTGCAGCGCCGTTTTGACCCATTTGACCATTATCAAGAAAACAAACAAACCGAACAAACGTGACACGTGACTTTCATAGGTTAAGGTTATGTTTACATTCATCCGGTCAGCACAGCAGTCGATATTCGTTCAATTTACTTTAATGCCAGTTAATTTAGTGTACTCAAGAAATTTTTTCAAGGCAGTACTTTTTGTTAATCTGTTGGATAAAGAACGTATTTTTTCCAGTGTAGTGAAACTGTCGCTGTCTCAAATGGCCTCATTGTTTTTTGCAATATTCTCCGCTTCTGAAGTCTATTCTTCTCTCGGCCCTCAAAATTTTCACTCTAATATAGGCTCAAATGGAATTTTGCAGTGGTTTACAGGAGCAGCATCTTCTTTATTCTTAAACTGAAACGCTCTTTAATTTTGGAGTTATTGTTCACTATTGAATACTTGACCCTTTGGCTTTCATGATTCCATCGCAGTCATGGTTCGAATTTGCCATTATCTGTTGCAAATGAGATTTTACTCTCTTGCCAAGCATAGCTCATTAAATTTTCAACTTCTGAATGCATTGAATTCTGCTAGAGCTGCCAATAATATAAGTCTTCTTTGTCCAAGGTACATTTCCCTTGCTCAAATTAAATATCACATACCTCCTAGGAGTACTAAAATCAAGAAACAACCTGTCTCATCAGTTATCAAGAAACAACCAGTCTCATCAGTTATGTTTCAAGACCGCTTCTTCAAGTATCTCAGGGAAAACAATAAATTCTTTACTGTTACTCCAATAACATCAGATGATAGTGTCAAAAAACTAATGCTGACAGAAATCAAAGAAGTGACCAGTACTGAGTTACCAGTTTTTATTTCCACTGCTATTGTCAATGGTAAATTGACAGAAACTTTGAAAGCACGGTTGGATGAGGAATGCCTTTCCAGATTATCATCATTCACAACTGACGATGTTCTAAAAGTTGTTGATGCTTGGCTCTACATTGTTCCGCATATCCTGAACAATTTGAAGTTTTATCACGAAGCAATGCCTTTGTTTGACCGCATCCTGAGCAGCAATGATACAAGCTTGCCTGCATTCGTCCAGACTTTTTACTACGTTAGTCTATGTAAAGATAAGAATCTTGCAAGGGACATTATAAGGAAAGCTCTAGATAAACTTCAGTCCTCTCATAGTTTAATGAGAGCTTTAAGTCTAGATGAGCTGGTTATAATCTCCGTTTCCATATTTCGTACGAGCAACACCATTTCATCTCGGGCCTTATTACGAACAATTTCGGATGGCATTATGACTAATTTGCAAAGATTAATGAAAGATGATGCCTCATTGGTTACATTGATTAAACCTTTGAGACCAGCTGAATTCTATGATCTCAAATTATTAGATGCTATAGCAGCTAATCTGTCATTACTGAAAACAAAGAGCTTTATCACTAAGATTCAAGTTTTTGCACTTTTTGGGCAGTCCCTATATCCTGACAAAGATTTCCTCCAAAAATTTGCTGATGACATTGGCCACAGTTTATTGGATTTGCTGGAAAATAAAGAGACAATGGACATCAGGATAAAAGATGTATCAAGATTTTTTTGGTCGCTAAGTTTTCTGAATGTGATACCGCAAGTTGAAAATTTAGACAAAGAAGTCATGGAGAAAATAGAAGATTGGATCCTTGATAATCAATTCAATGAATCCAACTTACATTGGTTAATCTCAATAATGTGCAGTATTTTTATTTTCAACTGGGATTATGAACAACTTTTTAGGAGAGTCTTCGACAGTTTTTCAGCACATCAATTGAACGGTGAGATGCATCCTTTGTCCTAGAATTATTTATTCACTGAGCACTTAGGTAGATGGAACAACATGGGAATGGTACGCTCTGACATTTTCTAACAAGGTTTTGTGTACCTGGTTGACCTTTGAAGTCATGTGTAAAAGCAAAGATGTAAGGGGAGTTGCTTAAATTGCCGATAATCTTTCTGCCTTATTTATGGGTGCAAATGTCAGGTAGGTAATCTGCAACTGAGAAATGAGATTCCCATGCATGTTACTGTATATTTGCATCACTCTTTTGTCTTTGATGACAAAATTGGAGGGTGGATCCGGCTGGTTAAGAAGCTGGGAGAGATTACAACGAAGTCAACCTTCACTTAATATCACCTTCGCCATCATCAAAGGTGGCTAAGTAGAACTATTTTTCATGAAGTTTTTTTTTTTTTTTTTTTTTTTTTTTTTTTGTAATCATCATTTCTATTCCAAGAGTTGATTTGATTTATGTCATGGTTCATCGACCTGTTCAAAATATTCATCAAATTATCTTACCATCGAAACTTGTTAATCGAAGTTTAGATTGCACTGTTCTTAGTTCAAAAGAGAAAAATAGTTATAGTGTAACATTCTTGCAGTTGGGCAGTTAATTTTGATCTTTCAGCGCTTTTATAATACCAATGAGTCCTTTTTAAGTATTATGGAATTAAAAAATGAAATTAATTCAGAGAAATTGAATTGGTCTCTGTTTAACGGGCATAAGTCCAAAAACTCATGAGGCCTAGCGTCCCGCATAATCCATGAAAGCCAAGGATCATGATTTTTGGACTTGCGCTTGTCTAACAGAAACCTATTCAATGGCCGTGCCTTACATGAACAAAGCAGGTCTGTCACTTTCTGTCTTACAGCAAAAGTCAATCGGAAAGCAGTTATTTGAATTTTCTCCTTCATTTCTTGTTAAATTGTCAATTTTTATCATCATTTAATTTGCCACTAATGTTGCTCCATTCATTTTTTCCAGTTCCTAATCACTCAGCCAATTTTCGGAACTTAAATTTATTGATAGCTGGTCTCAGGATTGAGGCTCCTTATCTGGTTTCCGAAGACTTGACGAGTATCCTAAGGCCAACTATTGCTCCGACAGCCGTGAACCATTTGCGAACAAGACCAGTTTTAAAGGATGCTTATAAAACAGCCTGGTCACTTACAAAGGACCATAATGTAACTGATATTTTGTGCCATTTTAACATTCCTCACGTTCTCATACTGGGTCTAACGTTCTATACGCCCAAAAGGTATTCTCAATTTTTTTTCATACTTCACTCCTTTTCTCATTTTGTCAAAGCTTACACCTTACAGTCTTTTATCTTAGTCGTTTGTTGGAGGTGCACTATCCGTCTTGCTTGGTAAAGGTTTTTTGGCCTCCCTTTACAGACCTAATCTTATATATCGTTGGTGAAACTGCAGGAATGCATATTTCAGTTTGCTGTGTCGCAGACTTCCTGTCATACTTTATTTTGCAAATGGAAAAATACTCGATGTTAATTCTGGAAAACTTCCCTGATTTTCCTGTTTTGTATGAAGAATAATTGATGAAAAGATCAAGCAACTACGTTAGCTTGCTCTCCTTTGATAAAATAATGGGATGCGGATCTGTTAAAACAGTGCAAATGAGTTACCTGCGCATTCCTGTAGTTTCACGATCAATATCTGAAGTACCACAAAGTTAAAAAAAAGTGGAGATGATTTTTAAAATTTATCAGAGTGAAATTTCTTTTTTTCCACCATGAAATTGTAGCATTGGGAACATAATTTTTCCTTAATTTTGCAGAAACCTTCTGAACATTGAAGTTTTGGATAGGAGCAACTGTTTACTGACCTCAAATATCCCCCACGGATTGATGAGCCTAAAGTTGCGATTATTGAAGCAATTGCATGAGCACATTCTTATCGTAAGTTTTTTCCTCAAATCATGTCAGGGAGTTTAAAGAAGAGAATCTCATTCTGGATCATAAGAAGATCTTACATATTTCCTATTTGGATGGTGAAATTCCCCAACCACATATCGCGGTTTGCGACGTTGCAGACTTCATGCCATATTTTACTTTCTGCAAGGAAAACTACTATAAGTCAATTTAAACTTCTGTGATTTTTACTCTCTATGCGAAGAAAGTTCTTTGAAAACTTCAAAGAACGATGTTGATTTGTTCTTCTTCAATTCTAGTAAGGAGTAGTAGAGGATCTAAGTAATGGAAAAAATTAAGTGGGGTAGGAGATTTTAAAACACCATAAACGAGATACGTGGTTTGGGAGTTTCATCATCAATTTGCTTTCTCTTAAGATGTAGATTGATGCAAAATGGCTCTTTATAAAAATCTTGCGATATCAGGCAAATAAAAAAGGCAATTTATTGTTATTACATAGATTGTCATATTGAGTAGTTTTTTTTATAGTTATTTTATGAGAATCTTACAATCAACGGAAATAAAATAATTTTTACCGCTAGATTTTACGAAGGATGAGCTTTAAAATTTCTCGGGAATGGGGAGTGAAGACGTCTGAAAAATCGGACATGGAAACATCTGGACGAGTGTTCATTTTACTGATACCAGTTAACACGTCTTCTTTAAATTCATGATGGTAGCCTACCGCCTGTATTGGCAGTAGTAGCAAAAGTTGAGGTGATTGTGCCTCTGCTGAACCAACGTATGAGACTGATTCTTAGCAATACCTTGAGATTTTTACAAAAATTCTTTCTTCTTCACTCACATGGTGAAAAGCATGAAAAAGTATTACAATCCTCTGGAGAAGAAGCAAAAGTATAGGGAGAGGGTTTTCAATTCCAGGGTGTCTACAAGTGCGGAATTTCTGGAAATAGTACTGAATTTTTAAGGGCGGTCCCGAAGTACTGAAAAAGTGCGGAAATTCTGCTAGAACGTCCGGAACTTTTTTCATTTTTTTGTCTTTTTTGTCGCAGTTAGAGCGAGAAATTCAAATTTTTGAAAATTTTCGAATTTTGGCGATTGAGGGTACTGTAAAAGTACTGAATTTTTTTGTTGAAGAGGTACTGAATTTCTTGAAAATGTACTGAAAAAGTACTGTAAAAGTACTGATTTTTGACCAGCCTATTTTAGTAAACACCCTGAATTCAAATCTTCTGCAGAATATGTCTGCACATCTTGAGAGTTCATTCTAAAGTTATCGGTGGTTGCATGCATATTTTGACGTATTTCTGCCAAATGGAACTATTTGCATTAAGACATGAGCCCTGAGACCCATAAGAATATATTCATGACAGGGCGCACCTTATAATGCACATAGTTCCGTTTGATAGAAATACGTCCATTTTATGTTGGTTATTTGGAGCATTGTCTCTCAGGTTGCTCATGACCATTCTTTTCCTCTTTCAGATCGACTCAACACGACTTTCCAAGGACAACAATTTTCGAATCATGTTTGAAAAGAAAATTAGAGAGGTTGATGGTGTCGATTAAAATTTTGGCCGAGATAAGAGTGGGTTTCTCCTGTGAACAAAACTTTTGACAATCATCAGGTAAATATTTTCTTGAGCTTGAGGTGATTTTTCCTTCCTTTAAATGGGTATGACATCAAAGTGTACATTGTTTTTAGAGAATCTCCATTGATTTTATCAGAATAGTCTGGCAACACGAAATCGAATAAAAGTGTAAGGGAAAACTCTGAAAAAAGACAAGATTGTGGTCAATATCACAGTATTGTTTCAAAAGAGACGTATGCAAATTTTACTTTGATGTTAATTTGATAAGTTTCATTCTCTCTTCACTAAACAGTGCATAGCAATTGAGGTGTCGGGTGCAGGAAGGGCATTTCTTGATTGCAGGATTTTAGAATCTCTACTACTAATTTATATTATAGAGAGGAAACTATTAGGTGAATTTTCTGAGATTTTTAGTTTTCAGCATTGTAAAATCGTTAAGAAAATTCAGTAGAGGTTTCAACAAATATCATGCACTTGCTTTAATTACGGAGGGTGAAATGTTCACGGAGATCCTGAGACTCAGCAACCAAGATTTACCTTCTCTGTACCCAGGATTTCAATTAATGCTTTTTCTTTAATTTTGAAGTTTACAGCAGTAAGATTAAACTAGCACAATAGTCACTTCTTCTTGACACTATGTATTCCTC